GTTGGGAGAGCGGGGTTCCAGATCGAGCACCTGCATGGGGAGAAAGGGGTTCCAGAGCGAATGCCTGTGGCGGGAGAGCAGGGTTCCAGAGCGAGTGCCTGCGTCGGGAGAGTGGGGTTCCAGATCGAGCACCTGCATGGGGACAGCGGGGTTCCAGAGCGAGCGCCTGCGTTGGGAGAGCAGGGTTCCAGAGCAAGCGCCTGCATGGGGAGAAAGGGGTTCCAGAGCGAATGCCTGTGGCGGGAGAGCAGGGTTCCAGAGCGAGTGCCTGTGGCGGGAGAGCAGGGTTCCAGAGCGAGCGCCTGCGTTGGGAGAGCAGGGTTCCAGAGCGAGCGCCTGCGTGGGGAGAGCGGGGTTCCAGAGCGAGTGCCCGCGTCGGGAGAGCGGGTTTCCAGATCATTAGACAGAGGAGTGCAGGACTGACATCAGAAGGGATCCCCTGGCTCTCATGGTGCTGAACACTACCGGACAGACAATAACATGGCATTTTGACCCTCTCCCTGTAGGTGCTTATGGCCTGGACAGACATCACAACACTTACATTGTAGAGCAGAGTTTCAAAGGTATAGTATTACAGCACAGCGTGTCCCAAACCATCAGTCTCTCCAAGCCACCCCCCTCCGCTGCACTCCATCTCACTGCCAGTCCCCACACAGTGCATCTGAAGGCTCACCCTGGCTTTCCATTTTCATCGCAGGTTCTGTTTACAATAATCGCCTCCCCCTGTTCTCCGCCCACACTCTTTTCCATTTCATTAATACAAGGAGAATGGAGGACCGTGGATCAATGACGGTCTTCCTATCTCCAGATTAACTTGGTCATTTCTTCTTTTCTAGCCTCTTAGGCACGGGGAACGCCAGTTAGTGTATCCTCACAGGAAAGGCAGTGCAGAATGCACAGAATGCACTGATACAAACTGATATTCAAACATGCCCCTTGCATACACACAGCACTCACATACGGTACTCTCGCAGAATCACACACACCACACATGACGATACAGATAAAGTTCCTTGCACCCTCTCAGCCTGAGCAGTCGACACAGATGGGGCTGGAGAGCAGTCACTTCGCTGGCTCTGAGAGGCTGCCATCTCAAATACCCCTTCATGCTGACAGTTATGAGTTTTACCCTCGTTATCAAAACTCACCCTCCCTCATAAATTATGCATGAGCTGCAAGAACTGGCATCTGAGACTTTGTTTGCTGCCCTGAAGTCTTTAATAGCATGCTTTTACGTACCAGTGACCTTTGGAACTTGCTCACAGCCAGTCAAGAGCACTTCAGCAACACAACGTATATGGTGAATTTCACATCTTTTCATTAAATTCATCCCACTTTCAAATGTTAAATCTTTAGAGATTCATTTTCTAACAGTTAACAATGGTTTGAAGAAGAGAAATATTATTTTCTTTACTTTTCAGAATTTCACTGTAGAGATCTTTACCAATTGCATCAGAACAAAGTGCTGGTAAGGCACTGTTCTGCCAGGATCCCATTATCCCAGGACAGGCCTACAGGTCTGCCTGCATGTTCCCTGTTTTAACTGTAGAGAGGCCGTGAAGATGAACGAGCCCTGTCTGAAGGGGGCATGTCCAGTTGACCATGAGCGGGCTCCCACTCTCTGCCACTGCAGCATCACCTTATTTGTACAGTGCATGTCACCTTGCATCTACCTTGTTCTCTGTAAAGGCAAACATGCCTGATTTTCATGTGTGTTATGTTACTGAATCGTGAGCTCATTGTTGTGAGTGGTGGTGTTAACGTGTCTCTGTCTTTGCAGGATATTCGTCACCCAGAAAAAGGGAGAAAGTGCATGCTGAGTGTTTTCCTGTCTACACATCTCCCAGCCTTGTGTGTTACTAATTCCTCTAGGTCCTGAGACAGAGAGATCCAACCACTCTGTTCCAGTACTGCTTTCACTGCCTCTTGTTCACTCCAGAACATCGTGCAAAGATGTGTTTTTTTTCTATTAGAGATGGACAGACCTTTTTTACGTGCAAACAATCTTTCCTGTTTAATGCATATCCAAGGTGACGCAGTCTTATCATTTAACCCCGGGGAGGGAATGTGTATCAACTCGGTCATGTCAAAATTCTGATCCTGTTTCAAAATGACTGACATGGTATTTCTCTTTCATTTCCAGAACAAAGGCCTGACAATAAAAACCAGTTGCAAGGAAAAAACATGTTCAGGCTGTAATACAGTACAGTATGTACAGCAGATGATGGTGAGAAGAAGCATGTACTGTACCATATATAGTGTAGCATATAGAAACGTGTAGTGTGTTTTTGTTGTTGTCAGACTACATGAAGGGCTCCGTGTGCAGCTCCAGCACCTGCTCCCTGAACAGCAGCGAGAACCCCTACGCCACCATCAAGGACCCCCCGGGCCTGGCCTGCAAGCACGAGAGCAGCTATGTGGAGATGAAGTCCCCCGCGCACCGCGACCTGCCCTACTGCACCCCCACTGTCCCCACCCCTGCCGCCACCAGGAACGTCTATGAAGTGGGTGAGTGGGGGAGCAGACTGAGCAGGCGGGTGTCACCCTGCCTAACACTGTGTTGCATACTGTAAGGGTGAAAAGGGCTCTTGCATGGACTTATCTTGCCCACTGATACCACCATTCATGTGTCTGTAGAAGACGGTATATTTCTGGCCACTGTTGCACATAAAATGCATTTTTTACACTGATCTTTCCTTATTGTTCTGTGTCTTCCTCTCTGCCAGAGCCCACCGTCAGTGTGCTGCAGGGGGCCAGTGGGGTCACCCCCAGTTATGTCCAGAACCCCTACGACTTGCCCAGGAACAGCCACATCCCCAGCCACTACGACCTCCTGCCCATGCGGCACAGCCCCGTGCACACAGCGCCACCTCTGGACGCACAGCCCAGCGAGCAGTCCTAGAGGGCGGCTCAGGGAATGCCAGCTGTTCTGCCATCAGACAATCTCTTCACGTCAGCTGCAGGCAGCGCTGAGTGAGGAAGCAGCAGCTGCCTGCGAAAAGAAAAGACATAACACTGAAGTAGAACTACATGGTGCAGAGAGCTGCAGTGCTCTCTCTCTCTCTCTCTCTCTGCGGCTGCATGATGACTTTTTACTGTCAAACGCCTGACAAGAGACATGCCTTCATGTTACATTCTTTCTGTTTCACCATTTAGAGCTTTTTTTACAGAGATCTGTAAAGAAAGCTGTCAGGTCAGATCACTAGAGATGGGACTCTTCATTCAAACTGGGAGCCACAACTCAGAAAAACCAGCTGTGTAACCTTTTTTTATAAAAAGAAATCCGTATGTTCAACAGAACAACAGACTATGAAGTGTTCCTGTATTCAGCTACAAAACTGTTTGAAGAAATATTTTGAATGGGGACAATGAGAAGGGCAGAGAGGGAAATAATGAACTTCCCTCTGTGATAGAGAAGGGCAGTTTCAACAAATGGGGAAAAAAAACCCTCCCTAGCGAAGCGTGATACAAAGCGCCTGTCAATTTTTATCTACACCTGTAAAAACGATGTATAAAATGAAGTCTGCCAGAATCGTTCGGGTGTTTTCAACTTTTCATCTCTTTTACCCTTCATCTTGAAAGTAGTTCCAGGACTGAACTGGCCCTCTCCCGGTGGTCCTGCAAGACGGGTGTCTTTTAGATTTGCTGGGTGATTCCCCCTGCAGACAGTGCTCCCTAGGGCAGTCCTTCCATCGTAATGGAAACTGGAAAACTCCACAGCCCTCCAGGACCAGCAGCTGGAACTGTACCGCAGCCATGGACAGGAGCCGCTGTGGTATTTCCCTTCACCCCTCCACGCTCCCTTTCTTAGTAGTGCCCCCAGTCACTGGTGCTTGAGCATGGTTAAGTGCAACTGAAGTAGCAAGAGTTCTGTATACTCCTTTTTCAATCTACTGAACATAGCCAGTTAAGACTACTGCTTATTTCTTTGACATATTGAAGACCACATGGTATTGGTCTTTATCTTGAACTAGTTGTTTTTTTATTTATGTACTGTATTAATTTATTCATAGTAGTGTTAGTGAATTTTGTTACTAAAAAGCTAAATACAATGGAGGAAAAAAAAAAAGCAAGCATGACCAAACTAAGTACAGTACTCCACGTGTAGACACCGGACATGAAGGACAGGACAGCTGCGTTAGCAAGTGTCACGTGCTCAGCAAGAGGCCTGTTGTCAGCATCAGTGGGGGGATTCCTGCTCTGCCGGCTGAGGTGCCAGCCAGCCTGTCGTAATGAGTAGGCTTCTCTGATGCGTCACCTGTCCTCCGAGATCCATAGCAAACCATTACGAGACACTGTAGCAAAGCCAACTTCCTGATGAACTCAGCTGTCCTGTACTAATCATATAATAGAAGCGATACCAGCGAAATGTCAATCAGAAATCTTGTTTTATAAGGTCAAGATTTGGGTTGCATTACAACTAATCAAAAAGCAATAACTCAATGACAATCATTCAGTATGGATTGTGCTCAGTGGCTGAAGCGCTCTGTTTGTGTGCGAATCCTGGTTCCACTGGCTCTGAAATGGAAAGGAAGTCATTACCAAAATGCTGCTTGATGTTTTCTTTAATAAAATACACAATAAAGTGACAATAGCTCAGGGCAGTAATGTGGAATGCTTTCTTTTGCCTGAAAGCGACTGGTCTGTGTTTTTATTCTCCCTTCTTTTGTAGCGACAGGCTTTTCGGAAGACTGTCTTAATGGGTCAGTCTTGGGTAAAAGTCTTTGTTAGACGCTGAAATTGTTCATCATTGTTAATGTGACCCAATTATTCAGTTAACTGAAACATCTTCACAGAACTTCAAGTTTTCAGAAAGACCTAAATGTAATCAAAGACTTGACATAACGCACTGCACACACACATTACTTTTTAGTCTGGAGTCATAATCCCCCTTTTAATATTTTTTTCCATTTTAATTTAAGTGATTAGAATGCAATTTTTAAAATCATCTTAAAAATCAAATAAAGAGAATCACAGCACATGCATATAAGACACCTGGAATGAAAGGAAGGTAATGTTCTGTATGAACAGATTCCTCTCTAAAAGTACAAGGAAAAAAAAAAGGTATAATCAATTTTGCACAAAAAACCTTACAACAGATCTGCAAGAGCAGTGCCCTCTGTTACCGCACATCATAAGCACTGCAGGCCAGACTGACAGGACATAGGAGCACCCAAGCAAAACTAGGGGGGTATTTTAAAAATAAAAAGAGAAGCCAGTCAGAGATGAAGTGTACCTACTGTATTTGCACCTGATAGGACCAAACGTATCACAGGGTGAGACTTTGTGACCACTTTTGCAATCTAACTATAAAAACATTCAGCAGAATATACATGCCCACGAAAGAAACTGAGCAGCAGCTGCAGAGTGCTGATCTGTACACAGATGTAGATTAGGCTGCTCCAACAGAGTTCCTTTCTTCCTCAAATGTTTGCTTAACCGCTGAACAAGAAAGTCAAACCAAGGGCACATTCTATGATACAGTTTAATTCTCCCAGAAAGGAAAAAAAAGTGACTACAGTTTCCACAACGACAGGCATGTTTACAGTTAGAAATCTTTTAAATGGCCCTCTTTAGGATGCAAACTTCTAGAAAACTGATTAAACCATTTAGGGATCCTAACAATTAAAGTATTTACTAAAACGAATATATTCATACTAGTCCTTGTAGACATATAATTTAAGGGAAATCACGTTTCATACAATTGAATTTTTGCTCTGTGATAGTGTTGCAGGTACTTGCTTGGTAACCCTTGTATGAAACTCCCGGATGTTTCTAATTTATCGGAACCCCAAAAGGTCGAGACCTAAACAGATACTGTAAAAACAGCACTCATGTCATAAAGAAGCATCATTCTGAAACTCGCGCTGTTTCTCAGGACAGAACACATGGCAGGAATCACGCTGCTGTGAACAGACTCAGGTCATTACAGAGTGAAACAGTCACCTGTGACTAATTCACTTTTAACACAGGCCCTTCGGCTGGTGCACCTGCCACCAGAGAACAACTTTAAATTGACTCCGACTGGCAAAGTTACCTTTGTACATGAAATTCCCCCCATGCTCCTGCCTGTCATACAACAGTGTCATAGAAAGGGTTCGGTTTTAAGGACGGGGCAGCATGTCAGAAGGTCAAACCTATCTGACCATCTGAGAGTCTGTGGGTCACTACACAGAAGAGAGGGCAGGGGACCACAGCAAGACGCAGATCACCTGAACTCCACACAGGCCCTGGCATACAGTACTGGAGCTTGTTCAGAGCATTTCAGATCCAATATTACAACTGTCCTATGAGGGCTATGAGGGCCCAGAGGAACTACGCCAAGAAACAGGACTGAGCGACCACCACAAGGCAACCACAACACCAGCCCCCAACACTGGTCGCTCATCTCCTGGCACAATGGAGTACAACTACAACTGGTTTCTCCTCACTGGGACTCCCTCACACCCAATGAACAAATAAATACCCACAAATGTTAGATTTATTCACAGGACGACCATACTGCCAGAACAAGATGTTAACATCAAATAAATGCACTGTTCTCATGAAACATTATTCCATACTGTACATGAAAGATCTACAGGTTTATTCACAAGGCTTACCTAGTTCAAGCTCAGCAGTTTGGCTTCTCTCAGCTGCAAGTAATGTGATATGACTATATACTCTTGGACCCAGACCAAACCCTTGATACAGTATTCATGTGCATAGGCAATGTCCTCTGTGACCGACAGAGCTCGCAGATAAAGCACACAAGCATGGACTGTACTGCTGGGCTAACGTTCAGCCTGTCTTTGATAGCTGCTGCACTCACAAGGTGGGAACAGTCCGATTCACGGCGCACACAGGGGCACCCCGTGCACAGCCGGGAGTATTCTGCTGCGGACAAACAAAAGGGAACCAAACCTTTGATGCTATAATGCAAGAGAATGCGTGGTCTTGCCACAGCGGGTTACAAGGCCAGTCTGCCTCTGTCCTTGCATGCCACACGTTAGCCAGCAGCGAGGAAACGATCACACCGTGTTCCTCTCTTCTCCGAACCCGGGCAGCGCGCAGGTTTCACAGGCTCCGAAAGCCAGGGGGTCTGGAGAGCATCCCGTAAACAAATACAGCATGTGGAAAACACGTGATGCACAGTAAAATATAAAAATAAAAATCACAGGCCGAACAAACAGAAACCCCAAAATGAGACATTAAGACTTTTCCATGACGATCTGAGAGTTGGATCGTTGATACTGCGGGCTTGCCTATATAAAAGTCTACCATGGTGACACAGCTTGCTTCTCTCTGATGACCCCTGCTCACACGGCTCTGGCCCAGAGCTTCTGCCGGCTAGACCCAGGACCACAGTAGGCTTTTATACAGGAGGGGACCTGTACGCAGGAGGCAGCTGCGCGGGGCAGGGAGCTGCTAGATGCTCTGACAGCACTGCGTCTTTGGTTTGTTTTCAGTGGTGGGCGGCACATGGATGGACACCACGTTGTTGCTAGGAGACATGTCGTTCTCCCGCCGGTCCGTCATCTGTTTCTGAGACACGATGCGATAGATTTCTGCAGGGGGAGGGGGAGAGGGGACAGGTCAACCCAGCCCAGCCAGCACTCAACGAGTTAACGCACATCGTGACATCAGCTCTTCACTCTCTCTTATTTAGAATCCGGACAAAAACACTTTTGGAGTGCTCGTTTCTGATCTTAGTTTTACTGAATTCAAATTTTATTTAAATGAATTCAAATTTTATTTAAATTAGATTTTTTTAACTTTTATTAAGACATCTTTATTTTACATCTGATTTTTCCCCTTTCACAGTCAGACGTTTAAAAGACTCTTCTTGTACGAGATATTCTTTCATCCAACTGAACATTCAAGCAAGACAAAATGTGCTCTGCAGGAAGGCCCTGGTTCTGAGCTCGGTGAACCGGGCCAGGACTGACTCTAATGGGCTGAGCTGGCCCTGGTGCTCCAGCTCTGGTGGCTCCAGTCCAGCACGGCCAGGCCTGTGATCAGTCATCCCTGCAGCTCTGGCCCTCAGCCCAGAGCATCCCTCTCGCTGCGGCACTGGACACCCAGGGACCCCGGGCCCTCTGAGGGTCCGAACTGCTTCACAGTTCGCTTGCCTGTTGCGGGACTCAAATGGATTGTGGGAAAGACCGATTGCCCTCCCTCCTCACCTGTCAGGATGGTCTGGAAAGCCGTCTCTACGTTGGTGGAGTCCAGGGCCGAGGTCTCGATGAAGGACAGCCCGTTCTTCTCTGAAGGGAGGAGAAAAAGAAAGAAAGTGAAGAATTAACGTTCAGGGTACAGCTCAGTGACCCCATTCAGATGACTCAGAGAATTCATCTCACTTGCGTCCGAAATGCTCCTCCAGTTACCCGGCTCAAGTCCAGGTTCAAAACCCACGTGTGGCACCGGCCTTGCCCTAACTATCCAAGACTGGCGTCTCTCTCTATCCTGGCCCCCAGGTGCTGCCCCAGAGTCAGGGTGCATGTAGCCCCCAGGTGTTGCCCCGGTGTAGGGGTGCATGTGGCATCTGGGTGTCTCCCCGAGTTGAGGTGTGGGCGTCACCGCACTGTTGCACTGGTGTCTCCCTGGGTCGGGGTGCAAGCGACGTCCTGGTGTCACTCTAGTGTCTCCATGGTGGCTGGGAGTGTGTGGCATCCCGGTGTCACCCCGGATCAGGGTGTGTGTGGCGCCTTATATCGGGGTAACCCTGGTGTCGCTCCGGGTCGGGGTGCGTGTGGTGTGTGTTGCCCAGGGTCAGGGTGCGTGTGGTGTGTGTTGCCCAGGGTCAGGGTGCGTGTGGTGTGTGGTACCCCGGGTCGGGCAGCGTGCCGCAGTCCTCACCTGCGAAGGCCCGGGCCTCATCTGTGGGCACGGCCCTCAGGTGGCGCAGGTCGCTCTTGTTGCCCACCAGCATGATGACGATGTTGCTGTCGGCGTGGTCCCGCAGCTCCTTCAGCCAGCGCTCCACGTTCTCGTACGTCAGGTGCTTGGCGATGTCGTACACCAGCAGGGCGCCCACGGCCCCCCGGTAGTACCTACGGAGCACAGAAACCAGGGACACTTTGGATCAACACTGCCCTGTTGATTAATACAGAATAACCACAGTGACAATAACTGAGCTCTTTTTCATTTACCCCACCCAGTTAAACAGGGACCTTCTTTTCCTGGATTCTGGCACAGTAATCAATGGGTCTAATGGGCAAAGCTCCAGACTCCTCCTCTTCATCTGTAACCGGTTTTCAGTTTCCTCTTATTCATATAAATCCTGCTAACGCTGCTGGATTGCAGCTGACTGGGGTGACATTTTTATTACAGCGCGTTCGGCTGCAAGGCCTGATTGGGTGAAGCTGCTCGATGCCAGCTGTTTATTTCAAGCCTCGGAAAGCTGTAATGTAGTTGTTTTTACATGAAGTGCTACCTTGAGTTTTATTGCTACAGCTGATTGTCAAATGTGGTCATACCACGCAGGAAAAGGTGACCCTGCAAGCAGTCCTCCTCCCTACATTATCCATTTTTCCCTCTATGGCAGCGTGGGCCACACTCACGCGGAGGTGATGGCCCGGTAGCGCTCCTGCCCGGCCGTGTCCCAGATCTGCGCCTTGACCGTCTTGCCGTCCACCTGGATGCTGCGGGTGGCGAACTCCACGCCGATGGTGCTCTTGCTCTCCAGGCTGAACTCGTTGCGGGTGAAGCGGGACAGCAGGTTGCTCTTGCCCACGCCGGAGTCGCCGATCAGCACCACTGCGGCGGAGACGAGGCGTTATTGGGGCGCACTACAGAGCGAGCACGGCGGGCACGCCGTCTCGGGGAGCACCTGCGGGCCACGCCAGCGGGAGTCACGCGCAAATGTCGTCGGGCAACAAGGAAACAGAAACCCATGAGCTCTGCAGACAGCTCTGGAAATGTTATTTTTCGGCCTCCTTAGCGTTTCGGAAAGACCGAGCCCCGCCCCCAGTTGTTTGTGACCCACAGCTCTTGAATATTACAGAGCGGTGGGTTTTTCACTCTGCCGTTCACGAGTCGCTGGCTCAGCAGCTGCTGGGGTTGCAGACTTCCTGCGAGCGCTGGCCCACTCCCACTGGTGAGCCCCCTCCGAGCTGCTATTCTGAGGAGCAAACTCACTGAAGCCCAACCTCAGCTATCAAGATGTTACTGCGGCTGTAGACTCACACTCCCTGTTTCAGACCCTGTCTGCTGCAAACAAGGGAGTACAACTCTCTTCCTCCTTTTTTTCTTCTTGGTTTTGCACTACACTGTCTATGCTAATATAACTGCAATACACTGTCACAAAGAAGTTTGCATTCCTTGACTTGGGGTCTCAGTATCAATACATTTTATTTTCAAATTTAGAATCACCAATTTTTTTTCTTTACACCCAGCTGATTTGGAACAGCCAGGTGTGTGTTTTTTCATGGTTCGGCTCACATGTCTCCCGTGATCGCACACGGGGGACAATGAGGAAGTGTGGGCAGGCTCCACTGCCCCGCCCACCTCCGAGCCAATCGCCTTTCAACATGTCACAGGAAGCACAGCCCCATGCAGCAGGTGCAACTTTGATTGGAGGAGAGGCATGTCCCTCACCTAATCCCAGCCTCGGCAGTGCACCGTCGACATGAACCAACACTTCAGGACCTCTGGTCCCAGCAGGCTAGTAACCAGATCAGACTCCTGTTCCCAAGTGCACATACCAGTTGAGCTACTCAAGAGGCCCCACCAGTGCATTCTCAGTGTATTGATGCAAGTGCAGCAGCGCTCACAGACAATCGTGCTAGAGAATGTTGTAGAGAGGTGGTGCAATGGAGCACGCTGTGATGTCCAGAGCTGCATTTACAGTAAGCGGCCTGCAGGAGACCTCGCAGGGCGATGTAGAGGAGCTTGTAATAAGCTCTCAGAGCGATAAGAAGACGCAGGGATAGATCACTGGGACCCAGAGTGCCTCACACTGCTGTTCCAGCTCACTGTACTCTCTCACGGGCTCGGTAAGGGTTCCCTCAAACATGGCGGGGTCCTCCCTTAGGTTGTCTACCAGGATGCTACCGCTACCTGATGCAACACTCCTGAAAGGTATAAGCCTCAAAGACATTTCGCTGGAAACCCTTTCGCGTTGCACAAAATGAAACCTACTTCACGCCAGGGGCTGCGTGCACAGTGGCCCCCCTGGAGTGAACGCTCAGCGTATAAAAAGACATGTTTAGTGCGATTCAGTACTTCAAAAGCAGAGGCTCCCCATCTTCCAGGCGACTGGTAAACAAGCTCCATGAATAATTGAGTGTGCCTGGAGTAGCTTCGTGATGGTTTTGCTATCAAAACTCTCCACGCCGTGCAGCAGCAAAAAGTCTGGTGGGAGAGACTCCTCTGAGTCAGCTCGGCCGTTCGCAGCTTCTATATCAATATTAAACACGAGCACATGCAGAACTTCAAACGCAAGACATGATGATCCTAATCAGTCTCTTATGTGTCTTACATCTCTGCCTTGTTGTGGGGAGATGAATTATAGATCAACTGGAGACATTTCGCCCATTATTTCCTAGAAAGGATGATGACAGAATATGCATCCGGTGATTAAACTGGTTACAGTGAGCCCGCCGGTGCAGCAGGGCTGACTAATATTTGCTGTACACACAGCAGCCTCTATGGAGGAAGTTTCCATCCGCCAGGCTGGTAGCGATCTCCCCTTGTGAAGCTCATTTCACAAACACGCTCTTTCAATATTAGCCTTCAAAATCAGAAAATGAAAACACTGGCGCTTCACGAAGGCTCCCTTAAATGAATGACTTATGTTGCTTGAGATTTGGGAGGTTTTTTTTTAGCGTTAGCCTATATTTGTTCTATCTTTTCGGTCATTTCAAACATATAAATGACCATCCTGTACGCACAGCGCCGAAGAGGAGTAAAGCTGTGATTCATATTGTACCCAGCACGTATGCAGTTAGCCAAATCACCCCTGAATGCCAAGATAAACATTCCACTCACATGCAAAGAATGTAATTCAAGTCTACTTCAAAGTACTGTACGTCTGATAAGGACTTTCAGCCCATGATTGACCTTATTGGAGTATTCTGTGCATGTGCAACTATCTCTAAATATGTGAAGTCTTAAGACTTAGGTTTCCGCGGCTAAGAAAACAGTCCCATGAAAAATGAAAAATGTTAAAACTCAATACATGGCAAAACATGCTTTCGTTTTTGAACAAAAACAAGACCAGTGGACTAAATCAGCACCCTTATACACTCCCAATATCTTTGACTGCACTCATGTATCCAAGGCAACTAGCAATGCAGACATCTGACACGCACTGAGAGGACGACTTTGATTTATCACAAGAGGAATCCTCTCTTGCTAGACATGAATGCTATGTAGGTCATGAGTTCTCTGCTGGAGAAATGCAGCAGTGTTTCTACCAGGTAGAAGGCTAAAATCCCTTAGTATTAAGTAGACTAGATTATTTAGCAAGGCTAGCAGACAATGTTCCCTGTATTTCTAGAAGATGCCTCCTTAAGCCCCTTTTCATGGTTAGCAAGCTTGATTAAAACCTTAAGCCTACTAAATCAGAACAAAACCTAAATGCTTGGCTGTGTTCATTGATTACCTTTGTAATCCCCACCATGTGAACAACAATAAAAATAATTTTAAATTGAAAAACACTGAATGAAATCCGGCAGGATGGGGTGGCAGTCAGCACTCCTGTCTCAGAGCTCATGGGGTCCCGGATCTGGTCCATCTGTGTGGAGTTTGCATGTTCTCAGATTATCCACATGGGCTCTCTTTGGGGGGGTAGTATCCCCTCCCCTCTAGAGACGTGTTGGCCAAGTTAACTAGTGTTGATAAACAGGCCCTGTGCACGAGCCCTGCGGGGGACTGATGTCCCAGCCAGGATGCAGTCCTTTCTGGCTGCCCCAGCTTCCTGAATGACTTTTACAAGGACTTGTAAGCTTCTTTCTTACAATGGATGGATCCATGACAGAGCCTGAGCTGTGTTTGTTTGTGGCGCCCAAGAACCATAAGTTGCAATTTCAAAAAACACACCTAGAACAAGGAGCTCCCTTGTGTCAACTTCCCTTTCCCGATATAAACTGCACTATTGAATAAAACCCCAGCAGCTCAGCTGCTGCTGATAGTAACACACTGTGACAGTCCTTTGTGTATTGTTCTAAAGTTGTACAGATACAGCTGTAAATAGACTAAACTCAGCCCTGTTTAATTCTGCTAAACAAAGAGCCTAGATACTGTAAATGCACACTAGTGCTTTTACTGCACTATAAGAACCTCAGTACACCTGTTAGAGCAAATAGCAATCTCAGCAAGTGGTAGAGTACCTTTCAGTTGTACAGTAACTCCACAAGGCTAAAACACACACTATTACTGTCCTGCAAGTGAATACCTAAACCTTAGTGAACAGCGGTTAAGAGCTGCTAAACAGAAGTGAAGGCTGTGCACATTCAGAGTAAACACGCAGGTACAGTATGTGGGACAGACTAAAACTGCAGGGAGTGCGCTCCAGTCTGGGACCTGGCTGCAACTTAGCTGAGCAGCCCTTTGGACCCGTTGTTGACTCTGCCAGACCTGTGGAGTAGCCAAAGCTGACTTGCGGAGGCCCCGAACGTTTTCTAAGAACATGTGCATGCTACAGTGATTTGGGTTTGTATGCATCTGTGTGTGCAATGGCTTGCGATTCTCATGCCTGAGTAGCAGGGTGGATGCACTGAAGCACACAAAGCCTGCAGGCTACAGCATTCCACAGAGCAATGCAATACCTCCTGACAATGAATAAACCCCTTTGTTCCGAAGCTGTGGAAACATCAACCCATCCGCAACCCCTTTCTCCTGTTTCTTGTTGTTTTTCTTTTAAGAATCTAGGATTTGTCCATTACGATCAGGACTTACTGCCTATCAGGTTCCAGAAGGTCTGTGTTGTCACCGAGCTCCGGCTCACAGGATCACTGTAAGACACATTACAGTGGAACGCAGGTGATCAACAGGGAGATGCCTGTATCCGCCTGCTGCCTGTGTTTCTTCAACAGACTCTACACCCTCAGGTTAATCGAATATAGAAGTTGCGAAATTCATTCTTGATATTTCAGTTAAATATCAGAGGAGGTGAAGACTTAAGTAAAAATTGGGGGGAAACACACAGATCGTTGTCATTCTACTGTGTCAATTTATGGTGATGGAAGACTCGTGAAATGGCTTCATTTCAAACCTCCAAGTGAGGTTGACTCCAAGACCTTTAGCTCAAAAATAACTCCTCGGACAAACAACCAGGGCATAGGTCAACACGAACAATTGGCAGAGTATTCGATTTCAAACGGATGAAAACACAATAAGTAAAACTGTTAAAGCATTGATGCCTACTTGGCAGAGAGCATGAAGAAATGATAATCACCCCCCCCCCACACACAAAAGGGGGTCACAGTGACGACAGTGAGTAACGTTTTAAAACTAAACGATGAGCGTCTGCGGGTGTCCGAGAGCCGCATTACTTCCGCACTTGGGCTAGTGGATTCCTGGACAGTCAAATGTCCGTCCCTGACTCATCCGCTGCGAGTCCCGGACAAACACACACACACCCAGTAATCCTGTTACGTGTCTCTCAGAGAATGTCATTGAGCAACGGTTTCTGCTTCCTCGCTAGAGTAAGACTGCCGCTTTGCATTTTAAGAGTCTTGTTGTAAATAGTGAAGAAAAGGACAGTATACACAATCGTACATGAACAACCCGACCAACCTCAAGTTACAATATGTCTTATGGTCTTGGTTAAGGCGGCGTACCGAGTTAACATTGCACAAACGAGTACAGACGGGCGGACACTGTCTTGAATCTTAAAAAAAACAACGTACAGAGGTCGCCTCGTAAAACAAAAACCGAATTACGCGAATCGCATTGAACATCTCAACCTTCACCAAAGAAAAAAACAGTAACGTGTAACAGTGTCAGTTTCAGAAATAAAGGAGCTGATATCAAAGCTTAATTGCAGCAGAGCAGTTCAGCATCCTGTCAGCGTATTCAAACGCTTTTATTTATCCTTACACGTTACAATGTGAAGGCAGCAGGTCTGGGCACATTATTAAGGTGTGAAATGGCGCCGCCAGCTGCGGTTACCGTCCAGCAGCCGCTGTGACAGAGGCAGGTGGGAAGAGGTTGTTTCAGGTACCTCTCGGTGTACCGCAACCTAGGACTCTGCTCCCCGGACGTAGTGTAACAACATGTCGTAATTTCGCCTTGATTTCTCAACTTTCAACCGTAGCGACTGTTTTTGCTATACGTGTGCTAAAAAGAGCCCGGGCACAGACGATTAGTCCCCCGGTCTTAATGGATAGTAATATTATTCACAGAGCAGCAGACCAGATATCTCGGGTACCTCACAAAAGCCCGATGAAGCCAGTGCCGAGCACTTACCGTGTGCGATCAGTGCAGCTAATGTTACTAACGCGCAGGCTAACATCTGACATCAACCATTACGGAATGAGAGAAAACGATGTTTTGTAGCACTCCCTTTACCTTTGAACAAATAGTCATATTCGTCGTCTCGGGTTCCCATCTTGATTCCGGAATAAATCGAGCCAAGTGAGAATGAAAATACGGGATGGCAGCCGCACCGTGTTGCCCACTCCAGCCAAATTACCACCCGAGACCTGCAAGAGTCAAGAAGTCTGCACTTCCGGGGTCACAGCGGGGTCACCATTGATCAACGTTTGTTTCTTAAATATTGCATATCTGTTCCAAAGGTGGGTGGTATGTGCAGTCACTCCTCTCTGGGCCACGATCTTTAAACGTCCTTCTGATACAGGTCCGGTTTACTGAAACCTACAAAGGCGTCTAAACGAAATGAGCGCAGCGTTTCCTTGGAGTCTATGACGTAATGCTGCCGGGCGCGTGTGCCTCTTCGATAGTGCGGTACGGTCCGCGTTCCCGAGATTTCGTACTATCCCGTTTACCATCTCTCCGTTGATTGTGACTCCTGATTAAAGGAACACACACACACAGGTTTTTGCATCCTGCAAATGTGACACGCGCACCTTAATGCAACTGTATGTATCTGCTGCCAGGGAAGACATGTAGTGAATTCAGCTCTCTGAGATTGCCAGGTCCGCATCATGTACGTCTAATACTCCCGTACGAATACGTACTGAAACGATTCAACTTTATAAACGTTTAGTGGTATTTACTGAGTGCTTTGTAAATCTCGTTGGTGTGTGCATTGCTAGATGTGGCAGATAAAACGTTAACTTGATGACGAATTAACGACGGTGCCATTGCCCAGCTTGTTTTAAGCTCATGCAAGGCGGTTTACGCATAGGAGGTTCCATGGTGTAATGGTTAGCACTCTGGACTCTGAATCCAGCGATCCGAGTTCAAATCTCGGTGGAACCTGACTTTTTTTCCCTACTTGTTTAAATAACAGCACAGCAAAATAGCTGGCATGTTGTCCTCGTTTTACACATCGAGGATACGCGAAATTGTTAAATAAAAACGTTTAAATTGAATATATTTATCTTGACTGCTAGACGAGCGTAAATTCAATATCGTGTCAACAGATGGCAGTAAAGGCAATGTAGCTGTGACTGGGGGCGCAGGTTCTCTACTCCATTTTGCACCAATCAGGCTGGAAAAACGGGAGCCCCACCGTGCGAAGATGGCGGGGTTCGAGCGGAGGGTTCCGGTGGGTCTAGCCTCAGCCCGACGGTTCGCTGAGATGCAAAAACCGAGCTGCAGAAAGTCAGTCAGCTGTAAGTAGCGCCGGTCCTGGTGCTGCATTGTATGTAACAGCGGAATGCGCACGAATCCTCCCTTTTAGATTGTAAAACTTGTGTCTTTTCCGTTTTTAATTGCACTCCCTCACGTTGTCTTCTGTCCTCGTTGTACTGTCTACCGGGTTAACACGCTTACAGACCTCCGACTGCTGTGAACGCAGTTCTACAAGGAGCCTGTAAAGATGACCCGGTCTGTATTAATGCAAGAAGGAACAGCAGGCCTGTATACAATAAAAAGTATGAATCCAGTAGGAGGCAGTAGTAAGATTGGCACGGAAACCTCAAACTTCATTAGAAAACTCTTAACTATGATGTTGTTCCTGAAGTTCCCAGCGCATAACCCGAGTGTGTTACAGTTCTCTATGTAGCCACAGCGGTTTCTGTGAAACTGCCCTGTGCTGACCGGATGGTTACTGCTGTAACGGAATGCAAACTCTTCAAGACGCGGCGTCCATCCGGCATTTTTTGCTCCGACAGCATTGGACCCTAAAATATTCTGATTTTGTGTCCGTGTCAGTTCTCAAGTTCGCCGGTCGCAACCCAGCGGTGAAAAAAAAAATCTGACACAAATGAAGTCGAAAGAAAAGTTGTACTAAAACTGACTACATAGCCATATCATGATAAATATTTATGAAGAATTTACAGGATTGTATTAATGAATACAGAGCCTTACAACGTAAGGATACCCTAAACGTAAAGGAAGTGTCCCAGACGTCAGTGAGACAGTTTCAGACACTGTATAAGGTACTTCAGAAAGGGATAACTTTTTCAATTAAGACGTTAAAGGAAGGAAGATTGCTTTTAAGAAAGAATGGATTGGCTTGCAGAGTAACTGTACACACACTTCATAGATGACTCTGACAACATCTTAAAGTTTTTCTCTTCCACTATCTTGTTAATTTTAAAAAGCAGAATTGACTTGCCTTTGGAATGGGTTATCTTTTTAAGACTAACCTTCTTAACTCTGGGTGAATACCAGACTTCTGCATGAGCTCCTGTCACGGCTTGATGCCCAGGGCCGGCCACCAGACCCTAGACGCTCTCGTGTCATAAATACCTCTCCACCTGTGTGGCAGGGGGGCTCATTGCAATGTGACATGCGTGGGGGCTGTGTCGTTTCTGGGAGAAAGCGACGGTGAGCTGCTGATGAAACAGGCCCTTGTCTCTCCTTGTAGGTTCTTCTCCTGCTCTACCACCCCACCTTGCCAGTTCAGGTCAAAGGTCAAAGGGCGGGTAAGACGGAAGCCAAGCAGCAGTGGGAAATTTGGACTCAGTACCAGTCATATCAGAAGGCCCGGCCCCCACCACAGGTAGGCTCCAGCTGCCAGGGGCCACAAAAGAGTTTGGAGGGCAGAGGCGACAGGCACTCACGTCAGCGCCACACTGACTGAGAGGGCGACACCGACTGCCAGCCCGCCCTTCCGTCTGCCTCTCCCGCGCCCGCGAAGGACCGTACCGCCAAGAGCCTGGCCCTCTCCAAGCACTCCCGCCCCGCTGGCTGGAGGCACAGGTCAGCGCCATCGGCCTCGCGTGGGCTCCCGGCAGAGGCGCGGGACCCGCGGGCTCTCGACCCGGCCGCAGGCTGGCACTGGAAAGGCTTCGAGCCCAGGAGCCCGATGGGCCAGACGGCCTTGTTTTGCAGGTCACCTCCCAGGTGCCGCAGGGTGTGTGCAGCCTGCCATACAGACACAGCAGCTCCCAGCACCTCAGGGTTGCCGTTGGCTGTCGTCTTACTCAGGTAAAGCTGAGGAAACCTTACAGCTGGCAAGGCATGATTTCACTTACCGCTGCCAGAAACCGCCTCTATCACGATTCCGCGTGATTTGAACGTAGCGTGTGTTGTTTGTGAGATACCGTGTTTTGAACTTATGGAGTGCCGGCCTGCGGAGATGAGCACAGCGAGCTGGTAGACTGCAGCGCAGACATCACTATGACTTTGTGAGCTGGGTTGGGGTCACAGAAAGCATGTAACTGGGGACTGGCTCAGTGCCACCAATGGTGTAGATCTCTGTTTTGTTTGAAGGAGTCTGGATACAGTGGGCAGCTTCTGCACATTAGTATTCAGTGTGAGCAGGTCAAGACAGGTTTGGGTCTCGGTTCGCTATCCCCCTGGCGTAACAGAGGGGAAACTGCAAATAACAAAATTAACCTTTAAGCTGTGGATGAACAAATTGCATATTTGCTTCAGTGATGTCCATATTAAAGTCTGTATTTACCTTTTTTTTGTCCATGTTGTTTTTTGTATGTAGAAATATTTCATCACCCAACTTTGTACTTCTGATACAAGTATCAGAAGTACAAAGGGAGCTATAACTCAATAATTTCACTTAAGAATAGAGAGTGCTACCTTGTCTGATGCCGCCATCACTGGAAGTCTGCCCCACACTGAACTCTTCGCTTTTCTACAGCTTCTTCACGCTGAGAAGAGCGCTGCTTTTGTCAACATTGTCCGTGTCCACTAGGTGGCAGACTTGCCGCTTTCTTTCCAAGTTGTGACACTTGATCAACACATAAGGTCAGCTATTTGTAAGGGTGGGAAATGTGTCCTTGCGGTTGTCATTGTACGTGAATAGAAAATGTTACAGTGTCTTAAAAACACAGCCTGGTATATCAGGTACTGGGGCTAATCACAAAAAAATGACTGTAGAAAGCAGGGTTGTGTGTTCAGTTGTCTGATGCGGTTAAAAACAATTGAAATAATCTATGGAAGTTTTTATTTCTCAGTGCTTTTCCTGCTGCATGAGATGCAAAGTATTTTTTGATTAATGATCTGTATATTCCTCATCTGTTGTTAGTGCTTAAAAATCCTCTATTTTCTAATTAATTTTTTACTTGCTATTTTAAATGGTGATATAACTTATTTTAACAGGTAACAACACAGGGTAGGTAAGAGGTTAAGATTACTTTATTAGCCATATACAGTTCCTTGCATTAGGATTGCTCTCTATGAGACACAGACAAAAGCTTGGGGTCAGAGCACAGGGTCCACATGTACAGTACAGTGCCCCTGGAGCAGTTGGGGTTAAGGGCCTTGCTCAGAGGCCTAACTGCCAGCTGCAGGATTTGAACCAGCAACCTTCCAGCCATAGGCACAGATCCTTAGCCACCACTCCATCCCGGGTATATATTGCATAAAATGTCCACACCATCTTGTACATAAACACAGTAACCCACCGTGAATGAGATGTAATCTAAAGCGTGGTACTATCGTTGTAAATTAAATCAATTTCACAGCTCTTTTTCAAAGACACCTCTGTTCAAACCCAGGAAAAAACAGCAGTTCTTTTTCTTCACAGAACTGAAGAGAGCAGACAAAATATTCGGAGAGGGAGAGTTTTGCAGCGGATGCTGATAGGAAGATCTATGAGAGTGAAGGACTTGTATATTTTGCTCTTCGGAGAGCGAGGGGGAGAGAGCTCAGTGACACTAGAAACAGGCCGCTTCTCTAGTGTGAACATTTCTCTTCGTGACTTTGGAAAGTAACGGACTTTGGAAAAGTTATTTTCTAAAGTACATTGGAAGCCACGATCCCAGATCCCACCTGCTACAGAAGATATTAAAAGTGTGAAAATGATGGGCCTTGAGGGGGAAATTATTTTCTGTAGACAATAATTACTCTACTACAGCAAATGGGAGGCACGGTACTCTGGTAATGCACATACTTTTTTCTTCTATTGCTGTTAAATTCGAGGAAATTTCCTCCACAGAACCTTGATCCATCCATTTCTTAATTGCTTATTCTGGTTTGGAGTCACAGGGAAGTTGGAGCCTATCTCGGCAAGCAACAGGCGCAAGGCAGGGTACAGCCTAGAGGGGCTGCCAGTCTATCGCAGGGCACAGAACTGGTACAACAAGCACACACCAGGGACACTTTTGCCAAAATTCACTCCAGTGTGTCTTGGACTGTGGAAGGAAACCCACACGAACATGAAGAGAGCAGCCGAACTCCACAGGGGTTCTTTAACATTTAATAGACAGTCAGGGATCAATTTGTGACTTGCGTTTTGGGACAGGGTGGTACTGTCTCTGCCAGAGAGCTGGAAATTGCTGCCCTGCGCTCCAAGTCGTAACCTCTCTGCCACTGAGAACCTCCAGCTGGAGACTGTGTATCAAAAAATAGAAGTGTATTCTTGTGCAGCACTGGGTTCACAGCGGGACCGTGAGGCTAAGGTGATTAATCTTCTGTTTTAAATGTATAAGAAAATTCTAAAGCTTTGGTATATACCTATTACTGCAGGCTTGAACAATTGTTTGCACAGTTTGCTGTTTGATGGAGAAGGTAACATTCCAGTCAGCCGGGTTACACAGTGACTGTCGTAAGCACATGTAGTAGCCTGAAGGAGAAGGATACCCTTCCCAACAGCTGCGTGGAAAATAACTCTTCACAGAGTATAGCATTCCCTCACCATGCCGGGATCGTCTGGCTCGCTTGACGCACGAGAGCCAGGAAGTGCAGAGCTGAGACGTCACGCTGAAAGCTCCTGATTTCAGGAAACCTCCTTAGTGAAACAGGAAGGTAGTTTTCTCCATACAGTGATACCATCGTCTTAACATCGTCAAGTGCTGTCTTTCTCTATCCGGAATCTATGGAGGATATGCATGTTAATTTGGCTCTTAAATCGGGCTCAGATCTCGGTACCCCTCCTATTCCTTAAGGCATTGTGAAATACAGGACGCATATGGTTTGCACTTTGCTAGAAGTCTGCTTTGAAAAGCAGATGTTAACAGAAAGGTCTGCACCTCAACCAGGGTGACTGGGCAGTGTTGATGATGCCTCTCACGCCCTTCAGACATCCTCCAAGACCCCTGAGAAACTCACGAAGCAGAGGGTCCGGGGAAATTCTGGATGACTCCCACGGACGTCCTGTGTGAGAAACTGTATATTTTTTCCACTTTTAAACTGGCAGCAATTATGTGGTCGATTTAGCGCTCCAAATGTTACTTCTCCGTGACGTTTATGGTTGACCATGCAAAGAAATGTGGAATGCCATTATGGTCATAAGTCATAAATCTTTACGTCCTTTAGTGCGTGCATAAAAGTTAACAGATGTGTTTTTCTTTAGCGGTGGGATGTGATGACGTTGCAAGCAGTTGAGCTCAGCGCCTCAGAGCAATTCGGCAAATGGTCTTAATTATAAAACAGTCATTATATGCTGCCAAAATAACTTTTATTTTTGCAAAAACTGTTCATTCAGGGTTTTTTTATAAGTATACCTCAGACCTGATTGCAATTCCCAGCCAGTCTCTCACACTGTTGGTGTCTGGGGTCTGTACACGGCTAGCGCCGGGCTGTGTGTCTGAGGGAGAGACACTACAGCAGGTCGTACAGTATGTGGAGAGATCAGGAAGAATGATATTTCACGTCATCAAAACATCAAACTGAAAATAAAGAACACTACCACCATGCTGTTGCCATAAATAATCTGTGTTTTGTCGTCCTAATATTGATGGGCAGCGACTTGCTATGTCACTCCCCTAGAGGTGTGTGCTAGGCTCAGCGGTTTGCAGGATGCTTTGCCAGTCCATGTGCCAGTCAAGTCCTGGCGCTGGACCAGGAAGGAGGCTGTGGAGAATCTGCGCCGCGCTGAGGGGTGCCACGAGCCGCACGGCCGCGTTCTTCCTCGACTCCGGCCTCTCAGCGCGGCTGGTACGTCACCTCTCGCGACCAGCCATAGAAAGAGACCAAGTGTTAACGGCGATCACACGAGGAGATGGTGTTTCCATTTAAAACACGACGGGGACAATACGGATAACGACTGTGATGCCGTTTTCCATTTCCTTTCCACCCTGGGATGGTTTTAGCAGTAAGGAATAAGCCAAGAACATCACTACCGAGTCTGGGAAAACTGCTCGCTTATTACTATATAATAATAAAGCCCAGTTCATACACCTTGCAGTGTCTTCACAATCCCTCAGTGAACAAACACATCTGTAAGTTTAGGAGTGTTTATCCACCCTTTTTCTACTCAATAATGGCGTCGTGTTCCCAGTTTGTTTCTTTTGAGATTTATAATACCATAATAATATAGTATTAATATAATAATAGAATCCGTTTTGATAATAGCTAGTCACGGGGACATTGATTGGGACGCACCGAGGTAGGGTCTCATCATTATCATTACCTACAGTAGATTGAGACAGGACCATCCGCACAAACTGCGCCTTATTTTCTTGGCTAATCTGAAACAAATTAGCCAGGAAACTGAGCAGGATTGCAGTGTTGATTTATTTCCTTATTGTCAACCAGAGACCCCACTGATAAGGCCATCACTACCTCTGTCACCGATCCCCGTGATAAATGTCTTACTCAAAGTCCGTGCAGATTGGGGAGATGTACTGTGTGCACTAACGGGGGAGCCACCACTGTTACCGCAAAAGAAAAGCAAGAACATGAAGAAATAGTGCAAAGACGAAATATTGTAAAACTTTATTTTTTCCCCCGTACCAATATACTTTAATAATATCTAGTGACGACCACGCAGCTTCTTCCATTTAGCAAACAATTAATGTTAAACTTCCAGTATGTGTTTTTATTTAGAGACCAGGTGACAGACCTGCCCTGGATGGAGATGTGGTGTCCTGCCTATCACTCAGACTACATTTATTCAGCTATATTTATTTCTGGGTCGGGCTCCCCTTCTTGTCCTCCTTATATATACTGTAGCAAGTGTTTGATTTCTGTCGAAAAAAATGAATCTAGAATTATTTAAAATACCCTTTTGCAACTCGATAAAAGAGAAAAATGTCTAGAAAAAAATCTCAATTTAATTTTATGATGAATGTAGTCTTGCTTGACAGCAAAGGGGCATGGTGATTTTCAAAGGTTTATTGCTCTACTATCGAAGACGCTCCTCGTTTTCCGCACTTTAAAGAACTGTAACCCGCCGTAAGGTGCAAGAAACAAAACACGATACACGACCTATACAGGTGTCTGCAGAGACGTTCCCATTTACCTTTATTTTCGTATGGGACTTTGCCACTGCGAAGTAATTTGGGTTTGAACGGAGCTGAGGAAAGACACTGGGATTTATTGGAAGTTGTCAGACACTCGGAAGGTTGCTCCAATACTCGCTGTCCGACGCGACGATTAAAAAGACGTCGAACTACGGAGGAACTTCAACCCGTCGCCTCTAGGACCGCGCGCGGACTCCCGCCACACTCGGAGCCCGTCACAAGCCGCCGCGCGCCTCGGATTGCCATCACAACCAAGATGGCGAACAGAGGAGTCGGTTCGCCTTTAAGATGAGCTGGAATTAATTAGGCGGCATCGAACTGAAAATAAACAATCCAGTGAATGTATGGAAAAAACCCGATAATGAAACATCAGTGGAGTCAAACCTCTCTCACTACCTAAGAGGATACGAGACCTTGTTTTTCCCGGTGATGTAAGTGGACGATAACCGTTTTTTTTCCCCTCTCGTAACGAGAAAGCCCGTCTCCTGTGTTTAGCCGCTGTGTTGATGTAGCGTGTTGAGCTGTCAGTGCCAGTCTGTGTCCGCTTGTCAGTATTGCCATTCCGGTACGCCGTCAAGCAATCAAGCTAGGGAACTGGGGAGAAAAAAAAGGAGAGGTATTTTTTATTCCTTAATCTGAAATGTAGTCTTAGTTTAAACCCCTTCCTGAAATGAATGGGACACGTTTGGGGATTCAGCTGTCTACCACATCTCTGCCAAGAGCAGACACCGGCTTCGAGCTGAAGAACGGAATTAAATCGGTTAAAAGGAATTAAAAGGAATCGGTTTCATCCTGCTATTCTTAGTGAAGAGAGTATGGTATTTTTTTCCAGTTTACAGAGTTTTTTTAATGTACCATTATTTTCTAGGTAGACAAAATGCCGCGTGTGAAGTCTTTCACCCCTGAACTCGAGGTCGGAGAAGTTAATGACTCGTTACTGTAGCCGAATCCTAAATACTGTATTTTAATATGTCCACACGTGACAGCTGGGATCGCTAACGGACGGTATAGCTGGTTTGGACCGCGTCGCTGGGTGGCTTTCGCTGAAGTTAACACGGAGTAATCGGCCCTAGCAGTGTAAATCCACAGGCAGTAATTATTGTCTCGGCTTTCAAAATAGTTCAGCGTGTTAGGAGGGAGATCATTTCCGCAGGGCTATTTCTGACGGGGCGGGGAGGCGCTCGCCATATGCCGGGGCAGGCGCTCGAGCCGCGCGAGCCGCGCGAGCAGATGGGCGCGGAGCGTGGCGGAGCTGCCTGCCCAGCACGGCCGGGTACGTCGGGGCTCCTCCGACTGGAGCTGCGTCTTAAGCTTCGTTTGTAATTATTTTTGTGATTTGGGGGGCAAGTCTTTAGAATCAGCCGAGCGGCACTGTGCCCGAGTTTGCTCGTTCCTTCCTACGGGCGAGCGGGGGGGGAGGTTTGGCAATCAGTTCAGGAGCTATTTCGAGTCATGTCAAGGCTAGCATCAGGTCTCGACTCTCAGAACCTAATTCAGGTCCAGGCTGTAGACGAGGGAGGCTAGTGACTGTGGCGGGGGATTTCGGTAAAGCCGTTTCCAATAACAGGGCACTCTGCGCCGGGGTGACTCAATGCCTCAGCGCTCCTAGACACAGGACGTCGGTTGCCCTATCGCCTACAGCACACTGTAGTTGTAATTTTATTGAACTCTTTGATGTTATCATCAGCAGCAGAAAGCTGTTTGGTTCCAGACCTTTGATTTTTCGTTTTCACTATTGGATGGGAGGTTTTACTATGTCATAGAATTTGAGTCCTAGTTTAAGAGAGGTGCTTACTGTATGAGACGACCTGGCAGATAAGTGTTTTAAGAATCGTAGCGGATTTTAAGTAATGTTGTTTGTTTTAGGTAAGATACTAAATTGTCACTATTGTGACTCAGCTGGTGTGTGAAGCATCATGAATTCTATGGTTTAGGAATATTGACTTAATACTAAGATTCAGTCTATGATGTGCTGAATCCTACGTTTACGTTATGTGATGTAGTAGACCTGTAAAACTCAGTGAATTCTCAGCACTATCCCAGTAAAGTAATTTAAGATTCAGTTTCTATAATCCACTCATGGTATGTGCATTGGTTTGTAGAATTTAAAAAAAAGTCATTTGAAGCAAAAAGTAAAGACACTGTATTTCATTTGAAGAGAAATTGCTAATGTTCACCCTGGGCACAAGTTTGTATTGAATGCAGAACCCCGTATACAGAGCTCTGAGAGTGCTGAACGTAAATGAGTCTTCAGATGATGACAAATCTTTCACTGTCTTTCTGGCAGGGGTTAAGTGTTTCTGTGATGCAGACAGCATACAGCAGGAGTATTTCAATGTTGTGTACTCTTACATTATTTGAACCAAAACAAAAATTCCTGTAATGAGACAGAGGCACGAAAGACAGGTTAGACATGGAGTCTTTGCAGTGTTCTGAACAAACATGGACACTAGAAAGACAGTTTCCTCTCTTTCACTAATTTCTATTTCACTTTATGAAGACATGGTTTATTATGAATGTCTGAAAATAGAAAGTGTAATATCTGAGACTTTTTTCGCTGAACGGTCAGTTCCTATTGCTTCATTATTAGTCAAGTTGTCCAAAACTAAATACTTTCAATGTTTGCATTTTAAAAAAAGCATGATTACTTAAATTATTCCTTGTAGCATGTAACCTCTCACTTCGTACACAGCGCCTGTGATGCTTTTCTTAAGAATGAGGAGAAATTTTCTCCTGGTGCAGTAATCAATACTTAGTTACTGCTGGAATCCTGGACTTCTTGAGAAAGACCAATGCAAAAAAGCCATTCTCAAGAATGGCCTGGCAAACTCAAAGGAAGGCACGGCCGTTCTCAAATAAATCCTTCTTTGTGTTAGTGGAAATTAAAATGTCTAAATATGTGCAGTTTTGCATTCACCAGTGCTGTGAAATGGCTTTACTCCTATTGCAATCACTGCCTCCAGTGAATAAGAACAGAAGTCAGGCATTTCCCCTGTTACTAATACAAGACACCCAAATACACACTCTGTCACCATGTGTCTTGGTACACATTCTTTAACCCCAAGGTTACAGGCACTCCGTCATGCAAAACCGCAGCAGAGAAGTCCTGACCCCAGTGAGGCTTGTGCTGTATTGAGCTGTATGGATGTTCTTCAAAGGTTATCCACGAGTCCACACCCAATCCCAGAATGTGCACATGTAGAGACTGAAAATCAGCAGAGTGAGCAAGCCTTTTAACAACACTGGCTTCTCTTGTGTTTAATTTCTTTGGCTCTGTGTACTAAAGAATAAGAATGGTGCTTTAATCTCTCTGCCCTGATGTGGAAACTGGAATAGTTGTATTAAAATGAATATAGTAATTTTATACTATACAGAACATGACTTTTTGGTTTTTCATATTATGCACATTATGCATTTTACAGGCATGAAACATATCAAGTTATACATCTGTAGTTTGTGCAGTATGTAGTTTTGTAACTTCAAAATCAGAAAGTGTCAAAATCAGACCTTCTGCTTATACTGCCTGTTTTCCCTCCTCTTTGGGTTTTAGTAAATTTAGTCCTGCTTCAAATTCCAGACAGATATCAAATAAGAGTTTTGCAGGATATTGTCGTAGATGCCTGAATAAATATTGAAACCCACAAAGGCTCTGTATAACATGTTTTTTGTCTTTTTCTGTATGACTTGCATTTTGTGAAGCTCATAAATACCAAATGGGGTCTTGATGTCGGGGAACTCTGCCAACCACAATATAAACAGGGATAGCCATTATGGCTTGTGGGGTTCTGGGCTTCACTTAATACTGTGCATCTAAAAATTAAAGTAGTTTATACATCCATTTAGTAAACTTACATCACAACTGTAACAGCTCGTTTATAAATGAAGATTCGGGAATGGCACTTCTCTCATGCAGTACTGATGTTAACACAGTACTTGTTTGCAATAGGGATTTGGGATTTGTTTTGACTCTTCCCAGCGCTGTCTAGAGGCAGGCTGTGATTCCATGAAGCAATGATGTAATGATCTAGGCTTAAGCTAACTTGGCTCTTTCAGCTCCTGCACTCCACTGATGATGAGCTAGAGCTCTGAAGTCTTGCTCTTACATAGATAGAAGACCAAAATCCCAATTAAGTCTATAAGCAGAGTGCACTGGAGTTTATGGAAGCAAAATTTGCAGTTACATTTAACTTTCATCACACTGCCAGTGAATGATGAAGGCGTAAGTTTTAAAAATGGCTTTCCACTTGGACAAAGTTTGCAACATACAAAGTGATCGTCAAGCTTCAAACAGTAGCTTAATTTATTAATTTTACCTCTTGATCTGAATCTTATTTATATGTATCCTAATTTATACGAATGATACTTTTCTTTATTATACTAAGTGTTTAAATTTGCTTTACGTTTTATTTCATTTTTATTGTCTCTCCAGAAGCTGCTCGTTTTTCTCTGGATAATTCTGTCTTTAATCTTCCTTTGTAATAATGCAGTATGCAGCCTACCATGTACCTAGGCCAAGATTGAGCAAGAATCCCTTGCAAGACAGGATAATTTTCACACTCTGGCTAAAACATGCTTCTACAGGCACAGAGATAATTAGATTAATTAAACAGTAGTCTAAAGTATTTCAGAAAATTTTAATTAACATATCCTGTTTGTTGTGGGGTAGATCTAACACATTTTAAACAGCATTTAAGAAATTAAATATTATTTTGCTTTTTCACATTGAATTCTTCCTTCTTGTAATGCAGAGAGAGCTGGGAAGATTAGGTGAAAGCAAAAGCAGAACAACTTCAGCCCTGGGAAAAAAGGATGTAATCAAAACACAGTGGCTTAGAAGTGGAAAGCAGAAAATATAGATGGAAAGCACCTGCCTGCATGGGGATTTCAGAGGCCTTCAGAGAATAAGCCCTCTTTAGACGGGTTTTCTGGGAGGAATTGTAAAATCGACCAGGTGCAGAAGAGGCTCCAGAGATGCGGTTTCCTGGTGACTGGGCTTGGCTGGGCTCCCCAGAGTGGTTCTTCCATCCCCTGCCTGTTCTCCTCAGCCTGCAATGAAACCCCTGTACCAGCTCAACAATAAAACACTAAAGATGTGACGGTAGTTCTCATTACTACCAATTAACCCGACGTCTCTGACACCTTTTCATTTGGAAGTAATGGAGGTTTGGTCAAATCTTACTCTCTAAAACATGTTCTCAATATTGTTGTTTCAATATTTACATTTGACTCCAATATAATTTTTGGCACCAACTGGTCTCGCTTAGAACAGACACAAACATATTAAAATGTGTAAATTGCCAGATGGGTCCCAATGCTTTTTCAACAAGGCTTCGTTTTCAGTTTGATGTTCAAAACAGACACAAACAACAATCTGATTTAACCAACATAAATTAATTTCAGAAATACTGCTGATCGTGTTTGCTTTTAATTATCTGCCACACATTACATAAAATAAACTCCCCTTTTCTATGCAGGCCAGTGACCAAACAAATCTGGTAAAAATGAAGTAATATATTCAGAACATCAGTGGCACAGTATTATTATTGAAAGAAAGTATATAAATTGAAACTAAGCAGCAGCGAATTTTATCTTCGAGTTAGCACATTTTAAAACATTAAATGTTAAATGACACTTGTGGGTATTAAACATTTTGTGTGAGAAATTTTGAGTGGCTAGCCCATATTGACAAAGTGTTTGATTCAGTGTTAATTTGAGTGGTGCTTTTCGCATGGCAGTATAATATATATATATTATTTCATGAAATTATTTTTTAACTGGCCTTCCTGTTGATTTAAATTTTTATCAAATACGAGGTACTGGGAAATTGTGTCTTAAAGCCCAGAATGAAATCACCAGTGTGTGGACATATTTTTGCAACATAGTCAAAGTCAGGCACCTTGGTGCAAATCATGATGAAACAGGCAGTAGAAACCGCGTTTCATCTTCTGATTCATATTCTGTTGTAAATGTGAGATGGGTTATTACGTCACTGCATGTATCTGCGTCCAGCAGTTTCCTCCTCCTTAATGAGAACATGCAGAAGGAGAGAGGGGAAAGGGTGTTTTCTCTGATATACTCCCTAACTACCAAATTAGTCACTGATGTTTGGCAGTGAGAGAGGACATTTTACTTCTTTAGTTTTGTTTTTTTTGGTACTTTGGTACATTTTTCTACAGTGTGCAAACAGAGAAGTCAGAAGTCTGATTTGATTTTTCAAAGGTCAGGATAATTAATCTTGAGGGCAGTTATATGTGAAGTACACCAAGAAAGAGGCTGAAATAATGGTGTCTAGCTCTGCCCATAGGATTATCTGTCTCCAGGTTACATTCATTGAATTATACATAATTCAAGCAAAAGCAAAAACTAGCACAGCTCCTCAGCTGAATGACGCTAACTATGTGGAGAACCCTTTCTGTGTGCACATAGTTGACTCTGCTACAGAGCAGGTATGGTTGTTACATACAGTTTGTGGAAGAATAAGTTAAGTTACCAGTGTTCACTGGCAGCAGTTGCCTATTTTTCTTATTAGTTGATCCTGCATGCTTTTGTTGGGATGGCAGTAACTGTCAATTTCATTTGACCTAAAGAGAAAACAGGAGTGACTCATTGTGTAAACAATAGTAGTTCAACCCATTGCTTTCTTCTTCTGGGGGGCATTTGTGCCATGCACACATACTGCATATGATGATTAAACAAGTAAAAAACAAATTTAGTTAAATATCCCACCGTCTTTTCCCTGGGGTTTAGAGTGCATTATGTTAATTGGAGTTGTAGTGGTAGGGGGTTATGGTGCTGGGAAGAGCTGGGTATGTGTGCTGGATTGCTGGCACAGTGCTACCAGACTCTGCTGGGCTGTTGGCTGTCTCAGCCTGACAGGCCAGCAGGGAACCTCAGCCTGTCTGCTCAGGCAGGGAAAAGTGCTGTTTAATATTCATCAACAGCACCTGGCTAATTAATAGAGGCTTGCCAAAGATGAGTCACAAGTTATGAGAACATACTGTATTATAGGTTCTGCAGTTCATACTAATCTCTTGGATGTTGTCCACCTAGAGAGAGCAAGAGAGGCAGATACGTGAAGGTGCAGAGGTTTGTAAAAAATGCAAGGTGTAGAATTAAAAAAAATATATATATTTCTTCTGTTCTAATGTTTTTGTGTATACATCAGTAAACAGAAATAGAATGTGTGTTGCATGGCTGAAGTAGTGTGGAATGAGGGAGAAATAAATGTTCTTCACTATAACAGAGTATGTTAAACTTATGTTATGTTAAAAACTGTTTACTGCTAACCGTTCAGGAACCTGGAATAGTCAGAGAAATAGACCAGGAGAAGTTACATCTATTTTTGGTTTGCTGTCTAATTTACTTTGTTTAAAGGAGATCACTCCTGACTGAGTTCAGATTTTAGTCCATTATAATTCTCTTTACATGGTGTGGGAGACAAGTAAATTAGTCCATTAGCTTGGTCAGAATGAGCGGCTTCAGTCAGGATGTTTGGGGCTCTGGATCATATTTAGACTGCCTATAGCACACGGGTACTGAAAGACCCAAGGGCAGATTAGTGTGTTCTGTGCAGACTATATATAAAAAAATACCTTGGAAGGATCCACAGTGGTGAAGGAATTAATTTGCAAAAAGTCATTATGTCCACTGCTAACAGCTCCATTGCTATTGGCCAATATGTCATCACAGTGAGAGAATTTGCAGCAGCATATTCAAACTGCAGAAAGGTTTAGGTTTTTATGCTTTAGGAGAGATTAAACTGTTTTGCCAGTGTACAGTTGTTCTTGCACTTAGGAGATTGTTTACTGGCAGCTTTTGTGCCTGTGACCAGCAGTTAAGTAGCAGAAGAACTAATGTCTGGCACAGTTTAAAATACGCTTTAGTACAGTGGCACTTGTAACCCTGGTGGCTGCGGAAGCTTCAGCAGCAGATGTTGAAGAGATTATCTGCCTTCGTGATAACCTGGCCTCTGTGATACAGTGCAACTGTGGTGCAGATGCTTTCTAATCTCCAAAAAGCAAGTTTCAGAATTTCGAGGGGCACTTTTTAGCTGTTGATTGTTTAGATTCTTTGGGTAAAAGTTTAGAAAAACATTTGAGGTTTCCAAGAAGAATCAAAGAATCGACTCATTTATTTTAAATCACGGTGATTGTGTTTCAGATAAGCTTTGGTTTTTAAAAGTTCATGAAACTACTGTAGTTCATGCCTTTCACATGTAGTTCATGTTGCTTCCTGTAACAGGCTCTGGCTCCTCTGTGTCCCTGTGATGTAAAGGGGTTAGAAAATGGATGGATGAAAATTCATATTAAGTTAATTCATGGACTTGTTGTCTACCAATTCATACATACATATTCATACATACCAACAGTCCCTGCGGCAGGCCTTGAGTTAGTCTTAATGACTTTTTGAGAACATTGTGTCTCCCATGTAAACTATTCCAGTGTAAATGTGTATACTGTATGTTTAGTACATTGGTTTAATAGAATTAGAATTTTATTACAAAGTATAAAAATTCCAGGATTTGTTTGCTGCATAACCAGATTTTTGATTAGCAAATCACAATGCTTTCAGTTTTGATGGGATTAAGCATCTGAAATAACCGGAGATCATTTCAGCAGTACTGGGAAGAAGAAAAACCTCGGCTGCGGTAAGACCGTCACAGCTGAGAAACTGCATCTGCAAAACCAATGACGAGGAGATTCGTCATAGCGAACTCACAGGAGCCTGACTAAGAAACTGAAAAGCAAGTGTGTTGTGAACAAAAACAAGCCATGCCTGCACATTGTTTGGAGAGTTATATAGTCCGGAGCTTCTTGTTCAGGGAATCTTGAAATATTAAACAAAGTTCACCTTGGGAAAGAGGAACATCCTTCGGGTCTCACTTTGAAAATAACCCGCAGGTGCTTTTATAGTGTACTTGCAACATAATTCATATGACAGGGTATTAGATTTAATTACACAGAAAGCCTGAACTGTACAAATTGGAAGTGATCAAAATGTATTTATTAATAATTGCAAATCACTCAGGGTAGCCAGGCACAGGTGTTCTGCAGAGTCACGAAGGGACGTTCCATGCACCTGCAGCTCCCTCTCGAGCATGCACACACACCCTCACAAAAAGCCCTTGTCTGTGTTCTTGCGTACATGCACACATATGTGATTCTTTCACTCCTGCGACAGACTCTACGTGTGGATACAATGAGCTTGCTGTAACAGACAGGAACAGGACAAAGAAACAGTTTGGTTTGACAGGAACATGACCATCATTTAACACTGAGCTATTTTTGTGTTCACAGATTATAAAGATTATTCTTGAGTATTTTTCCTTTTTCCACAAAATCTTGTACATCTGTGCTGTTTTCATTGGGGGGGAAGGGATTGAAGACTGATGTGTAAGTACGAAGAAGCAGGTGTGCGCGCAGATCCTCTCGTGTACTTATTTTAACTCCAGCTTTTGCGTACTGATCACCCTGTCCTTTCTGCTGTACACCCACCAGTTGTATCTCTGCACAGTGTCACTGGTCTTCATTTCCAGGTTGCAAAGCAGAGTGATTCTCTGACCAGACTCCACCATTACTCCTGGGGCTCATGCAGCTGGAGCAGCTCTGATTTTACTGGCTTCACGTCTAAAGGCAGCACGTGTTTCTGTTTCCAGGCGGAAATTCCTTCTCTTTTCCTGTTTAAGAGGTCAGGACAGACAGCTCTCCGAGTTCTTGACTCCAGGAAACCTCGTGGGTCTCTCTTAACGATAAGTTCAATCAATAACTCACTCTGTCAAACTGCTGCAGCCCAGCCAGCAAAAACTGCATGAACGCAAGTGCCTGTCAGGCCTGCCTTCCACCAAGCGACTGTTTAATTTCACCCGAATGGCAGAGTTAACGAATAAACCAAGAATACTCTATAAAGTTACCAGGGCATCAATGATATAATAAATATCTGTATAACATCTAAGGCTCTTACAAAAAGAATAAATCCAAAGAAATAGGAATTTTATAACTTAATTCTTCAGCAAGTGGTGAGACCTGTAAGTTTAGTAAAGTTCCCAAGAAGCTGCTTTTAATATTTTAATATAAGGGGAAGTTAGAGTAATGAGACAATGCATGTAGTTGCTCACATTCGCAGTGGTGTGAAAATATAGTATGATATGTAGCGTGTCATTGCA